CTTTCATATAAAAAAAAACTTTTCACACAAAAATAGTTTTACAACACTACACTTTTTCAAGTCTAAGCCTAATTACTTCAACTAAAATTCTCCTAAAGTTCTTACCGAAGCTTCCTCAAAAACGGTGTAAAAACTTGATGCTACTTTTTTATATGCTATGCTTCATGAAGTTGACACCACTACTTGAAGATTTTAACTCCCGGCAACAACACCAAAAACTTGATGCAGACTTTATTTATTTATTTTTTGATTAATTTTATATAGTCACAATGATATAAACACAAGTATACGTATCGCTCAAGTAATACAGGGCTCTAATAAAATCTCGTTTATCGATCATACAGGGAAGCGAGGTAAGAGGTCCTTAATCAAAGTTCTAGTATACAACTACAAGGCCTTAGATTGGAATGTTGATTAAAATGGTGTTTTATCTAGCAACTAATCCTAAATGCAAATGTTAAAAGTAATGATAATAGTTATTCCTTAATACAAATGTTAATTCTAAAGATAACCCTTTTTTGGATGAATTGGTTTGGAGAATTTAGAGATGTTAAAAAACTACTATTCTTATGTAGTGAATTGGTTAATGTGAATGAATGTGATGCATTAAATATTATATGTGTCAAATATGAGCAATCCTATTCCTTACTCTCTTCCGAGTGGTATAAACAATATTGGTTAATCCTAGATTTAGTCCCTAAATCCGTGGTTAGGCTAGGAGGATACTAGCTCTCACTCCAGAGCTCCCACTTCCCTTTGCTTTAAGGCTAACTCTCGCTTTAGTTTCCAAACACTAGGACCAAATTAAGGATTTTAGTCTATCACCCTAAAATCTCCAATTCTATGCCCATCAAAGTATATTTCCTTATTTATTTGCATCCAACCCCCGTGAACTTCACGATCCATGGAATTTGAATGTGATTCACCTTTGTTGAAAATTACACCGCCCTCTCGGGTTTTAATGCAATTACAACGGATTTTAACAATGCAACAGACCTTTATTGTAATGTAAATGAAGTACAAGTAAAAACCATAATGTTTATAATTAAAACTTCTTCTAGCATGCATCCCAAAATCCTAAACATAAATTTTACTCATTGTAAAAGAAAAGTAAAAGAAAAACAATGACATATTTCTCTCATGCCACTATTTCCTAATAAGAAGAAATAGTAAGAAAAACACATCACAAAACACGAAGAAAACACAACGGAAAAATTCATTTCATCAAGGAAAATATACATTCATTTCATCCGGAAAAATTCATTTCATCAAGGAAAATATACTAGATAAGTGCTTACAAAATCATAAAATAATGAAGAACACAATAATTAGATTTATCCCCTTGAAATAAAGATGAAAGTCTCTCCCATAAAGTCTCCCGCTAATCCATGCAATGCTAGAACATTCCCTTACAGATTCTCTCAAAATCCCCTCACCAATCTCTCCAAAAAGGTAGAAATCTACATTTCTACTCCTATTCTAAGATCTTTAAATATTTTCCTTATTTTTCCACTCACACACACACTTTTTGACATAAAACCACTCTATTATAGTGTAGGGATGAATTTTCCAAGAGATGCCTCAAGCAACCTTCCAAAAAGTGTCCAAATAAATTGAATCTTCTAGAAATTTGGTCAGCATCTCGTCCAAATTGCAGCACCGTTTTGGGCATCATCGGTGAGCACTCAGCCACCATCGGCGCCGGTTCTAGCGTCGTCGGCGCCCACCCTATGCAGCTCCACCATTTTGCTTTGTTTGGCTCTGTTTTAGCTCTGTTTCGCCCTAGTTCAGTTACGTTGTGTTCCTAACAGATAGAACTACAAAATAAGCATAAAAACAACCTTCCTTTAAAGTGTAATTTTATTAAAATATACATGAGAAATGTAAAAGATATTAAGCATAGAAAGACATCAAAATGTGCAAGGACAGAATTTTTCTCTTGCTCATTTTTGCTACAAGTTGCACTATTTTTCCTTCTTTTTCTTCAAAACTCCATTTCCTATACCTGAAACTAAAAATATACTAAATACAAAATATACAAAATACATTCCGTTAAAGTGCAATTTAATTGAAAATCACCAAATATAGACATTAAAAGCATATGAAAAATTGAACCTTTTTTAGGCGTATCAAAAAGCAGAGTCAACTTTATATATTTTGCACAACTATATCACCGGGATCATCTTACTAGGTTTTAGTCACTCCTTGGCTTAGGGAGTCCATGGGGTGCTTAATGATGAATAACTTTTAATGATATGGCATGATGGCAAAGTTATTTTGGCTTAGACCCAAAAATGGGATGAAATACTTTAATTTTGGGAACCATTGGTCCATAACACACCTTGGCTGGTTTAGTTGGGTTTAGGCTGGTCATTAGGATGTACTCGATGGCTGTGGTGTCATTAATTTGGTCATTTGGGCATGACTAAGTCAAGTTTGGTGCATTGGTTTAATTTGGGTCAAGTTGGCTTAAAGTTGGGTTTGGGTTAGGCTAGACATGACATTGAGCCCAATTGATTGATCAATTTGGTTTGGATGATTATCAAAAGGAGTTTAGAAAAGATTTGGAGTGATTTTGAATTGATTTGGAGGTTCAATTTGAGAGATTTTGACATTTGGTCAATTTTGAGGGTGTTGCGTTAGACTTGAGTTTAGGTTGGGCTAGAGTTGGATTGAGTCCAAATTAATGGTTGAAAATGGTCTAGGAGAATATCATGAAGAGTTGTCAACATCAATTGTGTGTCAATTTTGAGATTTGGGCATTCAATTTTGTGACATTTGGGCACATGGTTAATTTGAGGCAAAACTGGGGTTTTGGACTTAGGTTGAAACTGAGTGGAATTGAGGCTAGAGAAAGGCCAATTGAGGGTTAAATTTGGTACATGGAAGTGTTTTGAAGAGTTTATGATGCAAAATTATGGCAATTGGATAGATTTGGGGTTCAATTTAGTGGGATTTTGATCTTGGGACAAATTTGGGCTTTATTGATTTAGGTTAAAATTGGACTCAAATGTGGCTCAATTGGGCCTGGATTTGGTTTAAATTTAGTTTTATGATGATTAATTGGAGTTTAAAATTGAAATTAGGGAATGTTAGGGTCAAATTGATGGACATTTGGGGTGAATTTAGGGAAATTAGACATTTAAGGGCAATTTTGGGGTCTTGATCAAAATGGTAAAATTTGTCAAATTGGGATCAATGGAAGGGATCAAATTGGTTTTGGGAACATTTGAGATGATCTTGGTAAAGTTTGGGCCACCAAGGACATTTTTGTAATTTTGAAAAATTTAGGGGTATTTTGGTAATTTTGGAAATTTTGAGTGGTTTTGAGCAATTTGGGTAGTTTGAAATAGTTTGAAATGATTTTTGGACAAATTTGGGTATTTTTGGTGAAATTAGGATTTTTGGTCAAATTTAGGGTTTTGGGGTGTTTAAGTAATTTGGGTAGGTTTGTGTGACAAAATGCTAAGTTGGATATTTTGGGGAAATTGAGGTTTAAACCACCCTATATGAGCCATGGACCAATGAAATCCTCATTTGGGTCCTTTATGTACTGGTCTTAGCTAAACCTGGTCTTAGTTATGTACTGGTCTTAGCTAAACCCTAGCCTAGAGCTAGTGAGTTTAGGGGACCATCTACATGAGTCTCCCAAAGATCAAGGGATTAAAAGTCAACAAAGTTTGGGTTTAAGTTTGTGAGTGAAAGTGAGTGCAAGTGAGTGAACTAATTCCAAACCAACACCCATGTTCAACCTTAAGGCTAGACAATCTTATGGGGATTCACCATGAGCTCCCCCCCATATTGACCCCACCTATGAAGTGCTAGAGGTTATAACCAATATGTGGAACTTCATGTTGAGCAAAGAATTGCTTAGAGTTTCTAATGGTAAGAGTTCATTTTCTAGTCTTCTAGGAATAGTGAACATGAAAAGTCCTATGACTAGACCCTAGACTACTAAAGAGAAAAGACTAGATCTCAACCAAAAGTGAGGTTAACAATGGGCTCCTCTAATAGAAAAATACTAAGTGGGAAACTATGTATTGCATAAATAAGCTTATATTTTTTATATAAAATAATAAACAACGAATGATTGTTTAGCTTTTATAATACTTTTTCAAAATATTAACAAGAATTAAACTTTATCGTTTATTTAAAAGAAGAATGTATAGTCTCTTATATGAAAAAAAATTATAATTAATATTGTTAAAAAGCATACATTTTTTTTTGTTTGAATATTGACATCAGCACTAACAATGATAATCTTATTTCACAATTTTTGAATATTATTCTTAATAAAATTCTTGTGACCTGTGATATTAAGATTTTCGATCAAATATCTGTAATTCTATAATTTCACAGTAAAAATATCCAATTTTTTATATATAAATATGAATGCCAGTGCATTCGGTCAGCTTGGGAAAAATTTTTTGTCCGGACGTAGCTTTATGTGCAGACTCCCTATAATATACTGCCATGTGTGGTATATCGGGCCCACCTAAAAAATATTTAAGTGGAACCGCAGACTCTACAATAAACTGACATAACCTTGAAATAACACCGAAGTAACCTCCGCGGTACCACTTTAATAACCTCGAAATAAACTCCCCGAAAAAATACCGTGAACGTTATTTTAAGATTTTTTCTCGGTTATTTCAGCATTATTGAAAAGAAACTATATATTCACTTCAATAACTCAAAATAACCTAGAATAATCTCAAAATGACCTTCGCGATGTTATTTTAAAATTATTGAAGTGCAACTATGAAGATATCTAAGAATTATTTCTGAATCATTTTAAAATTATTAAAGTGAACGAATAACCCAAAATAAACTTAAATTAGGAAGAAATAAGAGGAATTCACGGGTAGAGGTACATCCGGAGACCCGACAGTTGGAGACTTCTGCTCGTTTCTACATTTCACTACAATATCACTTTTCTATTTTGATTTTTCGTCCATTGTTGTTCTTCATCAGTTTGGGTTTGTATGAGCTCCACGAAAGCTGCGTCGATTTGTTGTTTATAATTTGCAGGTTGTAAACTGCTGTGCCAATTGATCAAATCCTTTTCTTGATCATGAAATCCTCCGAAGAGAGTGGCGACGGTGGAACTGTGCAGGTAATCTTTGAATTCTGCAATTATGTTATCGTTGCTTTGAAAGAATCGGTTGAATTCCTACGGTTTGGCCTGTGGATAGAGTGCCACTTCTCTTTTATTTGAGATTTTGCTTTTCTTCTCAAAGCAGGCAAGTGTTCTGCTTCGACTGTAGTCTCATATAAAAACGTGGAACTCTTCCCCTCTCATTCTGTTTTCACATTCACTCAAGCTGCATAAATTAGGGTTTAGAATCAGTTTATTCGTTTCCTCTCTCCTTGCTCAATCAAACCACTAATTCATTCTCGTTGTTGCCGTTTTTAGTGTCCTATTGTTTAATACAGCTGATTTTATATCGATATTTATGAAATAGAATGGATATTATTCAACTTATTTAATGGTTTATAGTGAGAATAGTTGCGAGTAAGTTGTCCGCAATGTATTTCCATTGGCTATAGGCAGAGGGAAAGTTCCATGCAATATATAGTTATGATTCATTCTCATTCTAGATAGGCTCCATTTTTTGGGATATAATTGAACATAAACAAACAAGATTTGGATAATATAATGAAGATTACCATTCTATTGTTGTATTGAATTTTCTACAAAAATTAGCTCTAAATTTGTATTTTTTTTTTAGAAGATTTACAGACAAGGCACTCAATTCTTTTCTATTTACATATCTAACATCTAAACTTCAATTTTTATTTACAAGCCTCCTTACCTATGCATAAAAGATTTATTTAACTTTTTAAAAGTAAAATGGTGATATTTTAGGTGCAATGTGAATATTTGGGTGTTATGAATATAAAAAGTAAAGTTTAGGTGTTAGATATGTAAATGCTTAAGAATTAGGTAATATGTATTTAAATGCCCCATATCTTTCATTTTATAGGACTTAAACCTGAACTTCCCCTTTTGAAGGTGCCCAGCATTTGTAGCATATGAAAGTTGTGTAAGGGACTTCATTATAATCATAGTTATCATCATTAATCTTATCCCAACTATTTGGACTTGAGTATCTAAATAATCATTTTTTGATTCTTTGTTCTGAGTATTGTAAGACTTTATAATCCTATTATTTGTAAGTAATTTTTAACAAATTCTATTCTTAGTATCATAGGTTTACTTTTTACCTCTTGTGTCTTCAACATGAAATTCATTTACAAGTTTAATGGGTGTATTTTTTATCATTTTATGCATATGGCCAAATCATCCATTTTTAACTATCTTATCATCAATATATGCTACCCCAACCGTTCCTTGAATATAAGCATTCCTTAATGTACCCTTCTTAGTTTACCCATTGATCCATTTCAACATTCTTATTTTTTGACAGACCCAACTTAATTATCAATAATATTTTTTCTCTCCGATCACTCAATTGCATAAAATGTAGCCGGTCTAATTTGATTTTTATAAATTTATCTTTAAATATCCATTATTTCTTTTTATCGCATAGTAGTCATGAAGCACCTCTCCATCTTAACCATCAAGCCTTAACTCGGAAAGCTCATCCTGACTATAAGTTATTGTCTATATCTCCATGATTTTATATTATAGATTTAAGAAACCTAAAATTTATCACATGCCGGTATCACTTTGTGTTCAGACAATATTGATTTACGACCAAAAATGTCACTCCCTCTAAAAGTACATTTTGGATGTATGATCTCTACTATACGTTTTCTAAAATCTTAAACTCTTTTTTTCCAATATATTAACTTGTTGATTTTTAACATCAAATATCTTATTGATTAAAATTGTGAGATCAATGCGTTTTGATCATATTTATAAGCACCACCATAAGTAAAAAAATTTATTAATACAAAATGATATGGACTCAACATTAGATTTTACTTATCCTATTTGAAATGGAATGTCTTAGGGTTTCAAATTTCTAATTTAAATCTAATATGAGATGAATAAAGTTATGCAACGAGTACATAAATTTTCAAGACAAACTATTATATTTTATACAACATGTTTGATGAAAATTAGAAATACAATAAAAAACAACATAAACAAAAAATTGGTGATATACTATGTATTAACAGTTCGAAATTTAGTTTAATGAAGTCTTGCGAAGGTTTTGAAATCCACATACTTGTTTTTGAATTTTACAAAAAAATGTTCATTCTTTCATTAAATTAAATGTAAAGTCATAGAAGAATGGAGTTGAATAAGGGAAATAATTCACTAGAAAGCAAGTATCACGCTAGTAAATGGGGAAAGCCTCACTTCAAATTTCAAGCTATTACTTGATCAAGGAATTATGTTTTGAAAGTAAAAGAAATTACCCTTCTAAATACTTCTCTTAATCAGACTTATGTAATAAAATAGACAACCACTCCATATCCATAAATAGTAACTAAAACATTACTATAGCAAAAGGCATAAGACTCATAAAGAGAATCACAAATTAGAAAAGCTTTTGGATCCAATCATATGGAGAGCAAAGAAGTTACAAAAAGAGGAAAAGATTAAAATAGAAGCCATTGCGGGAAGACTGACTCAACATTTGAAGAAAGTTATTGAAATAAATTAAAGCATTGTAATAGAAGCTTCATGGCCTAGTCATCAATTTTTCATTAGTATTTTTAGAAACTTTTTGATCACTTCGTAACTTCTTCTAATAGTAGTATGCACTCATAAAGAGTTTTATTAACTTTCAAATATCTTTTACAAATATTTTTTCCTTAGTTTGAACCAAATCAGTTATGATGGTACTTTGAATCATATGGGTTCTCAAAATCATATAGAGGTATATGAAGCCTTTTCTCTTTTTTTTATACTTTTTATTAATTGTGTAAACTATAAATTGCTTTCAGGGGGGGATCTTTTTAGTTTGAACCAAATTAATTCCTTGAACTTGAAATGATAAATGATATTTTCTAAGATTCTATTTCAGTACTCTCTCCCATAATTTTAGTGTATTAGGCATGAATTTTATTCCTAGACAACAATCTTGAACATTCTTTTTACTCTTAATTATTGCTATCAAAATATTTATTCTTCAATCATTTAATATCCTTTTAGTCTTCAAAATTCTATTGAAATTATTTCTAAACCAAACCAATGTAATATCACTTGTAAATATTCAATTATTAATTGTTTTCTTATTTTGACCTAAAGCTTTTTCTTCTTAGCTCTAATTTCGTGACACCTTTTTGGAAAATTTATAATTTACCTCATTATTTTGTTCATTATGGTATTCTCTAATAATTTATTCCTTAAAACTCCCATTTAATGATTTATGAAAGTAGAATTTCATCTTTATCGATGCATTCATTTTTTTTATAGGTATCTTCTTCTTTCATTTCTGATTTATCAAATTTTAATAAGGTCCCTTGACCATTATTCTCTTGCCTTAGTTGATTTATCTCTCAACTTCTTCTTCTCCAGTATCATTTTGTTATTTAAATCATCATAAGTTATAATTTTTGCTTTGCTTGTTATCCATTTTTTTTAAAAACTGTTACTCTATATTCATTTTTTCATTGTATTATTTATCTTTTATTACATTTTACAAGCATATTTCTTTTCTTAAATAATCTCCTATGCCTTCTCTTTCAAATATCATGTTTTCTTAGTTGCTGGTGAAATTAGTATCTAAGGAAGAGATTTGCCAAACTTAAGGGTGCCAAAACTTTCATATTACACATAATTACATGGTGGTTAATAAGTGAAATCTTCATATTTATATATAGTTAGAAGATAATTTATTCAAATCTAGACGATGAGAGCCATGACCATGTCGGCAGCTAAAAGGAGGTTTGTTAAAGTTTATGGGTTTGGTCACCCGTAAGAAGCTGTCGGTCGTTGGAAGTGAAGTCCCGTCGCCCCGCTTTGGAAGGACGTTTTATTTACGTGTATATATATATATATATATATATAATTTTAGAAAAATATGAAATCAAACTGACCTCATATTTTTCGCAGTTTAAA